CGGCACCTACCCCATCCTCCTGCTCCAAGCTGACTCTCCTGTCCTCCTGGAAGCCACAATGTGACACAAGCCTACTGTCCCTCCCGAGCCAGGTACGAGGATGTAGCCACTTGCCCCCAGCTCCCAGGGAAAAAACCAAACTTCTCTTCCTGCTGTACTCTCCAAATCAACATGGAATGCTCTGTGACCAGAATGTGGGGGTCTTCCCCGCAGTCAGCCAGCGGGGGACTCACCAGGGTCCTCCCAGCCCACGATGGCCCCAGACACATCTACCCAGAGACGGCACAGGCCAGTGGGGTGACTGCCTCCTCCCGGGTGTGGCGAGTTTCAGGGGCACACGGAGCCCAGGGGACCCCTCCCTTTCTGCTCTATCACAGAGGACACGGAAGAGCAGTTATCACCTTCCAGGAATCCCGCCTGTGCTGCTATGGCTGCTCCCTGCCCGGGCCTGATGGGTCACATCACTGGCCCTCAGGGATCCCCCCGGGGCTGAGTCCCCACCCTTGAACCCTGCCCGACTTTGTCCAGACCGGGAAGTCACCGGGCAAGCCCGAACACAAAGGACACGTATGGCTGGAGATGGAGGCCAGGGCTGCTGCCTGCTAGGAAGAAGGACCAGAAGTAAGGGGCCAGCTGCTGCTCACTAGGGTGAGAGCTCCTGGCCTTCTCAAGTCTGTCTGCCTCGCATGCTCCGGGGACTGCTACGACTTCCCAGGACCATTTTAAAATTATTGCTATCTGTAATAATTGATGCAAAGCTGGCAAGAGCCCCTATCCGCCCTTCACCCAGACCCACAAGGTGTGAAGCCCTGACACGTGGGTCAGAACTAAGCAATGCGCTGCAGCACGGCGCCACGGACACTTGGACTCTGGCAGGTTTCCGTCCCGGGACCTGCTCAAAGGGTGGCATCTCCACTCCTGGGAGGGTTTTACCAGAGAGTGTGATGCTTCAGAAGCAGAGCACATCCCAAGGGCCAGGTCGGAGCTAGATCACTAGGAGCTGGAGAAAGGGGTGCGAACCCCTGGAGAACAGCTGGGCAGGGGGGAGGGCAGGGCCGGGGCCCAGTGGGGAGGCCCCAGGGGAGGCCTGGGCTATGCCATGTCCTTTGAAAGCCACTCTCTGAGCACAAGGACAGACTGGGGGAGCCCAGGGGTCCCCCTCGGGGAGAAGGCACCTCCTCCTTCCACGGACAATCATAGCACAAACCAGAGTCCCTGGGGGGAGTGGATGAACTCAGGATGGACTCTCAAGGCAGACGCCGGGGGAGTGGCGGCGAGAGGTGGCCATGGACTCAATCAAGTGCCACTTATTTCCTGACCAAAGGAGCTTCCACGGAGACACAAAGCCTCCCGCTGCGGACTCACTGCCTGCCTGGGCAACATGCCCATCCTGAGGGCACCTGAGACCCAGCACATGCCAGGGCCCCAGCTGTGCACGGCCCAGTTCGGGGTCTCAGTGCTGGGTTGGGGCTCCTGGGTCACCAGTGCCACACAAGTCTCCACCTGCCCTGCTGCCCCACTGTTCAGCCTGTGGTTCAACAGCCAATCAGTAGCTGGGCCGGGCAGGACCACCACGCAGGTCCTGGCCCCAGAGCCAGGGTCCCAAGCCGAATCCGAATCAGCTCCGAACTCGACCTGCCTTCTTCAGGGTGGAGGAGACACCAGCCAACCTCACAGTAAAAACAAAGGCCCATCTCAGAGCTTCCTCTAAAATCCTCCAGTCAAAGACAGACACTTTTTCAGGTGTGAAGGGCTTCCTAGCAGCGACCTCTCTGCCCATCTCCACACCCACACGAGGCTGGATGCAGAGCTGCCCCACACTCCTCTCCTTCATGGTCTCTGCTCTTTCCGCTGCCCACCCTCCTTTCCTTCTCCCTAGATGCACAATTAGATGGCCTTTTGCTTTTTAATCTCTTAGCAAAACTTTTGTTTCTGTTCTTGAACTTTTTCTTCAATTCCACATTTTCTTTCTCTCTGTCTGGCTCTAAATACATCCGCCAAGCAGTGCCAGGCCCGTTTTCCTGTCTGTTTTTTGCTCACTCTCTGTCCACCTCCAGCGTGGGCTGCAGATGACGAATCCCACTGTTATTTATTAGGCCGAGTCATCCAGCCACCCAGGGAGAGCTCCTTCGCTAGCCCGCGGAGGGCTGGGTGTGCTCGGGGCTCCACAAACAGAGGAGGGGCCTCGGGAGCCCTTCTAGGGGCCCAGAGTTTGTACAACAGGTGGTGGGCAAGTGACTCCTGGCAGCACCCCAGAAGCATCTCCACTGCCCTTCTCTCCTGAGCGCCCCATGAGCAGACGAGAGGCCTTGCTTCTGGCTGCGGCCTTTCTGGAGGGACGCAAAGGGCTCCTGCTGTGGGGCCAGTGAGTTTTCCAAGGCTGGAGCTTCAGAAGGCCACGTGGGAGCCATAACTGTGTCCCCTGGTGGGCGCGGGGAGCTGCAGGGACCTCCCCGCTGGCCAGTGTCCCCCAGCTGAGGTCATGAGGTGGCCGCTATCTGATATCAGGGAAGGCCTTTGTTCTCTGGAATTCTCTTCCTCCAGAATCACCAGGACTGGGCCTTAGAGCTTCAAGGCCTCTTGAGATAAGCAATAATGCTTAGAGCTCCCCGGAGCAGCTGCAGCTGCAGCTGGGGCTTTTAAGTCTGTGAAGGTCAGGGCCATGCAGCCCCTCTGTGAAGGTCGCAGAACTCCCCTCTGGCAGGCCCGGCCCAGGACACCTCCTGGCTCCTGAGCTGCGCTAGATGCCCCGATGAGACACCCCAACACGCTTCTACCCTGCTGAGATGCGAGGACCGAAGCTCAGAGTGACCTTCGAGAGCGGCCTCACTGCTGACTGGAGGCCGCCCCAGACCCCAGGGCGCTCATGGAAAGGGGTCTCAGGCACGCTGCTTGCTCTGAGCCTCTTTCTCCTCATCTGCAGTGAGAGTATTTTCCTTAGGGGGCTTTGATGTATCAGGGCATACAAATTAGCACCCATGAAGCACTTATTAAATAATCACCTATTTTTTTTTCACTAACTACATTCAGCTGCTTCTGCACACTGTTCCACAAGATGCAACCAGCGTCCTTTGTTACTGAGCTAACGCAACCCTGGGATGATTCCTGAGACACTGAGCCACAGGACAGGGTTCCTGAGCTCGCCACAGTTAAGAGCAATTCAGTGAACACAGCCCAGGGTCCAGGGGCCATTTCCTGGGTAGCAGCTATGGGGCCAGTGGCCCACGAAGTGAGTAAGCAGAAGTTAATGAATGCGTTGCCAAATATAACAAACCACATGTCTTTCGAATGAAGAGCACATATTAATATACCACAAGTAAAATATTTACTGCCATTATTTGTAGATTTGAAATCTAAAGCCCAAAGACATGAAATAAATTGGCAAGTGACTCCAGGTACTTCTCAACAGTCCTCAAACTTCGGCATGGTATGAGAATTCCATGGTGGGCTTCCAGAATGTCCCCCGGGAGATTCAGGGGGAACCAGAGGTCTGAATTGTCACTGTGTCACTGAGCCTTTCTGGGAGGTTCTGTCCCGAGGGCTGCCCTTTGGGGAGCTCTGCTGGGCAGTAAATGCTCCTGGCCATCAGGGACCTAGGTTAAAGAGGCTGAAGGTGAGCTCCAGCCTGCAGGATGTGGGAGGCCGGGACCTCAGTTCCATACAGCAGGGCACATGGCCCCTAAGACAAGATGGGGACCGCTACTTGTGCAAAGTGTGGAAACTGAGGCTGGGATCATCATATGGGTAGAAGCATGCTTCAAGCCTAGGTCTTCCAGTGGGAAGCCGTTTCCCCCAACTGCAAGGCCAGCCCCATGAGACTTTGGGACTCCTCATTCTCAGGGGCGAAGGCACTGGTTCACTCAGGAGCTTGTGAGCTAGGGGTGCAGGAGGAAGCACGCGCATGCTCTCTCACACCCCAACACCACCTGGTGCTTTCTAGGGACCCTCTGCTGATGTGAGGTTGCCTGTGGCCCTAAATCTGGGCCTGTCTGCTACGTGCCAGCACACCTGGCTTGGTTCAAACTCCTGGCTCTGCTCTTAAGTCCTGGCTGAGCACAGAATGGGGCCAGGCCAGACCAGAAGGGCACTTTGGCCTGGACTGTGCTGCTCAAAGTCTCTGAGCTCCTTGGCCTCCATCCCCTCTGGGCCCTGAACCCCACTGAAGGCAGCTCTTTCCCCCGAGGAGTGATCCCACCACTCCCAGCCTCCGAGGTCCTTACTTATTTTAGGACAGGATGGTGTGAGAATCACAGAAGTGACAAAATGCGAAACAAGGTTTCCCGTGTCCTTGTGAGCTCCTAGGACCTAGGCTAATTCCCACTAGGACCCCACCTGGGGCTCTGGCTGCAGCCCAGACCAGCTTCCGGCAGACACCCCAAACAGGCCGGGGTGGGGACTGGGCCGCTCTCCTCCAGGACTGCGTGTTCCTGAAGACACCCAGCACTCCTGGGGCATTTTAGCCAGGGGAGCCCAGAGCTCAGCCAAGCCGCCGCTGCCATTTAAACGAGACCGCTGTGCCAGCCCCCAGGCCCTGTCCGCACTGGCAGGGCTGAGGGCTGGGCCACAGGTGAGCGCCCACGCCCGGCTGGCCCAGGCCTGGACCCCAGCTCTGGAGGATGCACGGTCTCCTCCTCCAAGGCCCTGGCAGAGGTTAAGTGCAGTTCTCCTCCTTGGCCCGCCCATTCCCTCAGAGTCCCGCTTTTCAACACCAGAAAGCTCTGCAGCCCGGCAGTCCTCTTCCTTCCCTCCCTTCCGCGCGTCCAAAGCCCGAGTGCCTGACTTTCTGCTCTAACTGCTACCGGAGCTCTGCTCCAGGAACCAAGGGAAAGGACGCCCGGGCTGGGCTGTTTTGCACGATTAGCTCCCAGCTCGGGGCCAAGCCCGGAGTGCACGGGACGCGCGACTCACACGCACACCCACCCTCGCGCGTGCACACTCAAGAGGCCCCGCGAGTCGCCACCGGCGCGGGCGCGCACCCCAGCGCGGGGCGCGGGACTTACCGCCAAGACGCTGTGGGCCAGGAGCCCCACTGTCACGGCGCCCAGCAGCAGCCACCTGTGTGGGGAGGGAAAGGAGAGGACGTGAACAGGCGCGCCCGGATCACTCCTTAAAGTTGCATGAGGGGGGCGCGGGGGGGGGTTCGCTTACCGGCGCAGCACAGGGCCCATGGCGAGTTCGCAGGCGCAGTTGGCGCGGCTCGGTCCCTCCTAGTCCTGCGGCCAAGACAAAGCGAGTTAGCGGGGGTGGGGGCGCCCTGCAGCCAGGCTGCGTCCTCGGGGTGCGTCCGACTTCCCCGGAGGGGCCCGGTCACAGGACCGTCCCGCGCGGGCGGAGGGGCGCCTCCCCGCAGGCCGGCGAGGGTAGCGCGATGTCCGGCCCAGCTCCCCCGACCCGCACAGTGCGCGGCCCCGCGGCCCGGGTCTCACCTCGGTGGGCGTCAGGGCCGGCTGCCGGCGCTCATCGGCCTCCCCCGGGGACGCACGGCTGGCGCGGCCTGGGGAACCAGAGTCCCCTCTGCGTCCTGGGCCCGGCCAGCGATCGCGAGGCTCAGGGCAGAGACCGCGGGGCTCGGGAGGATCGCGGGGCGCGGGAGGATCGCGGAGACCGGGCTCCCGGCTGGCCGCGGTCGCAATTGCGAGCTGCGCGCTCCCGCCGCCTCTTACCCGCGCCGCAGGGTCCTCCCCTTTGAGACGCCGCCCGCTCTCCGCCGAGGGGAGGGGGCAGCGCCAACAAATTGGGGAGCCCGGCCCGGCGCGCTCAGGTCTCCGCTCGGAGCCGCTGCGCCGCACTCGCCCGGCCTCCAGCGCCCCGCGCCCCGCTCTCCGCACGCCGCCGCCATGGGGCCCCGGCTCGGCCTCTGGCTGCTGCTGCTGCCCGCCGCCCTTCTGCTCCACGAGGAGCGCGGGCGGGCCGCCGCCAAGGTGAGTCCCGGCCGGCTCGCTCTGGGTCCCGCGCCCCGCGCCCCGCGCCCCGCGAGGCCTCTTTGTCCCGCGCGCCCGGCCGCCCGGGGGCCTCAGGTGCGCTTTCCCGGGCGGCCCCGCGGGGGACCCCTGTGGGCTGCGCTCGCGCATCCGCCGCCCGCCGAGCCTCCTTTGTTGTGGTCCGGCGCGGAGAGTTAGGGGAGCTCTCCCGGCCCGGGCGGACGGGAGAAGCCGTGCTCAAAGTACGGCGGGGCGAGGGATTCGAACCCGCGCCGCCGCCGTGGCGCGCCCCAGCTGGCGCCTTCACCTGTCTGGGACGCGCGAGTGGGTAGGGGCTGGAGGGTGGGCACGCGGCCCCAGCGCGCGCAGAGCCCCCACGCGTGGGCCCAGGGATCGCTTGGGCGTGTTCCTCTTGTTTGTGGACTCTGGTGTTCGAGACCGAAGGGCTTTGGGCCTCCGCCTGGAAAAAGCTGCCTTTTGCTTTGCTGGGACTTTGTGTAGCCCCAGGCCTGCGGGAGAGGCGAGTAGGCGTTTGTGTGCCTGTAGCTTTCGAAGTCGCGGTCCTCCCTTGGCTCCTTTCATTAGTTTAAAAACCACGGCCACATTTGTGTGAGGGTAAAGCTAAAGTGAAACCGCGTCCCCGTGTTCCACGCACGAACTTTTTAGCTTTTGTTTCCTCCTGTTCCCTGCTTGCCTAGAAAAGTTCTAGAGCTTTGGGCTTACAGCTCGGCAGCTCTGCTGCCGACCTGAGCTTTTTGCTGCCCTCCAGAGAACAGCGACTCCGAAGAAGTCGGAGCTCAGAAGGTGTGGCCTGGGCTCACACTGCAAAACTTCAAAATGCTTAAAAAGGAGTTTTGCTGGTTGCCAGGTTTCCCACGCTTACTTTTTAACTGTTTCTTAATCTTTTGATTTGCTCTTTTTTTTCCTTTTTAAGAATTTCACGTCTCTTCCAAAAGAAGGCTACTCACTAACTCCTCTGTGCATAAGGTTTTAAGGGTCACTGGGATAAACTGCTACCTACATCCCCTGCCCCAGCTCCTTCCTTGGGGACAGAGGGTGGCTGTCACATCCCCCAGTAACTGCAGATGTGCCCCGAACTCGCCTGCCCTCGCTGCCCTCGCTAATGCCCCTCTGTGAGGACGACAAAGCCCTTTCAATAGAGTGGCCCAGGAACACTTCATCTGGGTTTAGAAATATTGACCAAGAGGTTTAACCCTTAAAGGGGAGAGCAGGCAAATCAGAGAAAGTTCTCTGCTGGGAAATAGGGACCTGGTGTGGACTGACGCCCTGAAGGACAGTGTTGGCGGGTGGAGCTAACTGAAGAGCTTAGCATCTCAGATATCCAGGACTTTAAAAAAAGAACAAATCGCTCACACAGGCAAACTGCTGTTCTTGCCTGAAAAATCAAACTCATTGCTGTTGACTTTTGGATTATTTTAACTATTTTCTAGAGGCCAAGTGCATTCCTGTCCACTAGCTTTGCTTTGTCCTTCAAGGTATCATCAAATGGCTTAAGATATCTGGTATGTGGCCCCTCTGGGAGCTGACCTCACAGATGTTGTTACATTGTAATTTTCCTAGCTAAATTTGAGAGAAGAAACAATATGCATATGACTTATGGGCATCTAAGAAAATTTATTTAAAAATAATATTTTGCTAGTTTTAAAATTCATCTCTTTTCATGTCATCCATAACGTTTTTACTTACCTTCTTCCAAAATCAGCTGTTAGATAGACCAAGATGTTGAAAGAACTATATCAATCCAAGTAAAATAGAATTTAAAAATAAAATTTGAATAAAACACTGCAGATTTGCGAATCTCCACTCAGGAGCCAGCAGGCGCGATTCTTGAATTAGCTGCCTCTTTAGGCCGGGTCCCCCTGCCTTCACCGCAGACCTCCTGTGCGCCAGGTGTGAGTCCCACTTACTATTTTCTCTGTACGGGAGGCTGTCTGGTTTTGCACTGGGACATCTCTACTGAGCTCATTGCTCATGTACCAGTGGACAGATTTTTTAAACTATTGTTTTATCTTGGGCTGAAACTACCTTTCATTCCATTCCTCTCCCCACCTTATCTTTCTTAGCCAGGAAAGGAGTAACAGGGTGCGGCCAGGTTTGTCCCTTGAAGGTTCTGGTCCCCAGGCCTCTCCTGGCCCAGACCCGTGCCACCAGGTCCTGTGTGGACCTTCCTAACATGATCTCCCCGGGCCAGAAACGTGACCTTTCTCTGAGGTGTGGGGGTGCCCGCCCAGCCATCTGATGACCTCCTGGCCATTAGTCGCTGCTGCTGGGCCTGCATGACCCAGAGCGCAGGCCAGTGAGGTTTGCGTCCCCGCAAGGGTGGCCCTGGCCCACATTCCACCCGAGATGTGCCAAGATGAGCAGGCTGCCCCTTGGGCACCCTCAACTTCACTTGGGGTGGTGCTGCTGACCTTGTTCTCAGCTGCCATGCCCTTTGTCCATGGAGTGTGTGGGGTGTGGGGACTGACCAGCAGTGGGCAGGTCTGTGGGCCATGTGGCTCTTGCAGAAGGGTCAGTGCCGCCTTGGGCCACATGGATGCAGTTAGTGTGCCTAGGGAAAAGGGGCTCCTAAATGTCATGTCTTCTTTTATTGAGCAGATGACGGAGGACTCTTGAAACCTCATGACTCGGTTTCCCTGGCAGAGCTGCCCTTCCTCTCAAAGACCCGTTCATTTTCCCTTCAATCCTCACAGGCATCCAGAACCCTACCCCCCTGGCCTGCCCAGCCAGGCACTGTCCACGAAACGGGGTGATGCTTTGGCTCTGTTCCCTTGAAGGTCACAGAATGGTAGGAGCTAATGGGAAAGAGGCCCATAGAATGCAGGCTGCTCAGTGCCACAGTGCAGGGAAACCAAGGCACAGGCGTGGCCAGCTTCGGAGGATCAGGAAACTCTGGAAGGCCATTCCACTTCTGAAGTAGGTGGGACAGATAGAGCTGTGACCTATGCCGTTGTTGTCTTTACCTGCGGTGTTATGACTAGGAAGCCTCTTGCCTGTCCTCTGTCAAGCCTGAGGGTCTTTGCATTAAAAGATAAGCAAGCTTCAAGCTCCCTGGTGGAGATACCAGATGCCATTGTTTCTACTGTTAACAATTTGGGGCGGACGGAAGGGACAGAGAGGAATGGGGGGCAGGGTCTGAGGCTGGGCAGATACGGAGGGTCGGAGGGTCGGAGAGTCCCTGTCCCCAGGGGTGCTGGGGGCCGCACACGGATGACTGCCTGTAGGCGGGAGTGCCTGCGGGAGCTGACCCAGAAAACCTACCCCAGCTCGGGCAAGCGCTGGGAGCTGAAACCCCACATTACTCATTAACAAGCCTGTCGGCACATTTCTGGTTATTTAGTGAAGAGCTGGTAAAGATTTTGCAGACAAAGGAACTCACAAGGGGTGCGATAAAGTAAGACTTACACCCCAACTCTCCTCTGTGTTTGTTCACAGCAAACATTGCTGAACAACCCTCCTTCCTGACATCGAAAGGGATTAACCTCCCTCCTTAGTGTCTCTCAAGCAGCCTTGGGCTCTGGAGCGCCTGGGACAGAAGCAAAAGTCACAATAGAATGCCTCAAATAATATCATCGGGCATTGTTCTTCCTGCTATTATTAAGCAACCACTAAAAAAATGTCAGCCAGGGAACAAACAAAGCCATATTCCTACCATTCGTGTGCAGACAATGGGAAGGGATAAACCAGGCCTGGTTTTACTTGTGCCTGTCTTTGCGGGTATGCGGACTGCCAGGTGACTTAGGGTTAATTTTTTGTCCCTGTGCCCTTGGCCCCTTTCTCTGCCTTCTCCCAAGCCCTGCACCGCCAGGTGTGTCTTGGGGTGGCCCTGGTGCTCCTGTGGGGTCCCCCTGCTCTCTACTCCAGATCCCCATCATCCCTGAGAAGGCCCTGCCCAGCCCGCTGTCCCCATGTTTCCGGGGGTGCTCACTCTGCTGTCCCTCGTGCCTCTTGACACGAGGTGCTGGCAGAGCTGGTCACCTCCTCCCAGACCCACGCCCTGTCCCTGCTCCCCCTGGGGTCGCTGGTGTCCCTGCTGTTTCCGGAGGCCCCTGCTGGGACCCCAGGGCTGCTGTCCCGCAGCTGTGGCTTCCTCCCTGTGCCTCTAGGAGTCACGGCGTCCTCTCACTGCCGCTGTGGCCCTACGCGGTGGCCTGGCCTCTGCCTGTCCTCTTCCGCTCTGCTCCCGGGTGCCCAGCCCTGCTGGGCGAGGCCGGTGCCCTCACGTGGCTCCAGGCCCTTCTCCCCGAAGGACCCGGCCCAGGCTCCCTCCAGCCTAGGGAGCCTGTGCTTCCTCTGGCCTGATTCTGCTGCCCCAGACCTGTGGCACGGTGACATGGGGTGGGGGCCGACCCCTTCCCTCCCTGCCCTGCCTCTCCTGCATCACTCTGCTTGCTTTACTGCCCCTGGGTCACTTACCACAGTTCTGTTTGTCCCTCTTCACAGTCTCTTCTAAGACCAGAGTTACAGCCTGGACTGTTAGATATCTAGATTTTTATTTTTATTTAGGTTTTTTTTTTTTTTTTTTTTGAGACAGGGTCTTGCTATGTAGTTTAGGCCAGGCTTGAACTGTGTAGCTCAGGGTGGCCTCAAACCCGTGATGATCCTCCTGACTCAGCCACCTGAGTGCTGGGATCACAGGCACGTGTCACCACACTAGGCTGGAGTTTTAAAAATCCAGCTTCAGTTAGAATTGTTGCTGTGCCTCTCAGTCTCGCGGAGCCGAGGTCCCTAC